TTGTTGCATATGGATTTCCAGTTTTCCCAGCACCATTTGTTGAAGATGCTATCCTTCCTCCATTGCATGCTTTTAGCCCCTTTATCAAATATATATAAAATTTTTTATTTTATTTATTTATTTATTTTGAGACAGGTCTTGCTAAGTTGCTCAGGGTGGCCTCCACTTTGTGATGGTCTTGCCTCAACCTCCCAAGCTGCTGGGATTATAGTCATGCGGCATTGCAAGGAATTGTTTTCTGATTTTGATTCTTTCCCCAACTGAATTGTCTTGGCAGATTTGCTGAAAATTGAGCAGAGGGCTGGGGTTATGTGGGGCCTAGTGCCTCACATGTGCAAGGCAAGCGCTCTTATCAGTGAGCTGCAACCCAGCCCCTTATTTTCATGTTGTAAATTGTTCATTGCAAGTATATATTGATCTTGCAATTTTATTAGTTCTAATGTTTTAGTGAATTCCTTAGGATTTTCTATATGCAAGACCATGTCATCTGCAAATAGTTTTCTTCTTTCTTTACAATTTGATGTGTTTTTTTTTGTTGTTCTTGTTTTGTTTTGTGCCTAATTTCCTGGCTAGTACATCCAGTGTAATGTTGAATAGGAGTTGTAAGAGCAGGCACTCTTGGTTTAGCTCTGATTTAAGGAGAGAATCACCCAGGCATTGACTCCATTGTGATCAAAGAATACATTGTGCGGTTTCCATTATTTTTGCAAGTTATTTGTTTTTTTACAGTGTTGGGGATTGAATCCAGGGCATACACAAGCTCAGCAAGCACTTTGCCACTGAGCCACATACACTCCCAGCCCTGGTTCTTTTGTTATGTTTTGCTTTTCTTGTGTTTAAGATGGGGTCTTGCTGTGTGGCCCAAGTTCCAACTTGCCATCCTGCCTCAGCCTCCCAAGTATCTGGGATCATAGGCTCTTGCTACTGTACTCAATTTATTTGTTTAAATTATTTTTTTTTTAGTTATAGATGGACAGAATGCCTTTATTTTATGTTTATTTTCATGTAGTGCTGAGGATCAAACCCAGTGCCTCACAAGTGCTAGGTAAGCGCTCTGCTACTGAGCTACAACCCCAGCCTCACAACTTATTATTTTGGCCAGGATATAGTCTGTGTAGGTGTATGTACCATGAGGACTTGTAAAGAATACTGTTGTGCTGATGGTGTTCTATGCTGGTTTGACATTGGTGGATGGTATTAAGATTACATATCTGCAGATGGTTCTACCAGTATGTTAAGAGTGTTAGGTGTCTTTTTAAAATTTTTTTTGCAGTTGTAGATGAACAGCATGACTTTATTTTGCTTGGTTATTTTTAAGGATCAAACCTAGTGCCTCACACAAGCTAGGCAAGCGCTCTCCTACTGAGCTACAGCCCCAGCCCTCCCACTGTCTCTTTTAATGGGCAAATTAAACCACTTACATTTAATGTACTTAGTGATATTTTAGGACTTAAGTCTCTCATTTTATTTTTGTTTTGTTTTCTGCCACTCCATGGGTTTCTTGAACATTTTTGAGAATTCCGTTTTAATTTACTTAATAGTATTTTTTTTTAAAGAGAGAGTGAGAGAGAGTAAATTTTTTTAATATTTATTTTTTAGTTTTTGGCGGACACAACATCTTTGTTTGTATGTGGTGCTGAGGATGTGGTGCTGAGGATCGAACCCGGGCCACACACATGCCAGGCGAGCGCACTACCGATTGAGCCACATCCCCAGCACTACTTAATAGTATTTTGAGCATATTCTTATCTTTTTTAGTGACTGCTTTAAGAGCTACATCATAATAAGTTATCACAGTATACTGTTATTAATTTAAAATCATAATTCATACATATGTAGTTCTTGTGAATTTAGAAACCCTCTCTACATCCTTTACTCACCCACTTATAAAATTTCCTCTACACACATTTAAGAACCACATCATATTTTTTCTTCAACCATCATCTGTAATTTAGAAAACTCAAGATTGCCTAGTGTGCACAAAGCGCTGGGTTCAAGTCCTAGCACCACACACACAAAAAAACCCCTCAAGAATTTGTATTTTTTCAGTTTTATTCTTTCCCTTATTCTTCCTTCCCAGTGTTGCAAGTTTTCCTCCTTTAGTTTTTCCTTTGTTTAGAGAAGCTTTTTTTTTTTTTTTTTTGGTACTCAGGATTGAACCCAGGGGCACTGAACCGCTGAGTGACACCCAGCCCGTTTTTAAAATATTATATTTAGAAACAGGTCTCACTGAGTTGCTTAGGGCCTCTCTAACTGGCTTCGAACTTGTGATCCTCCTGCCTCAGCCTCGCCTTTTTGTTTAGAGAAAATTTAATAAAAGAGCCATTCTCTTAGGTTAGAATTTGTGATAATGAATTCTACTAGTTTCTCTTCACCTGAAAATGTCTAAAATTTCCCCCTTGATTCCTGAAGGATATTTTTGCTAGATATAGAATTTTTGATTCGCAGCCCCTTTTACTACTTGAAAAATGTGCCACTTTCTTATACTTAGGAGAAATCTGTTGTTAAAATTGTTTTTTCCACATAGGAAGATTTTTTTTGCGTTTGGAGATGCTTTTGTATTTAGATCTCATAGGCTTGACTGCAATGTATCTTGGTGCAGACTTCTTAGTTTTTTTTTTTTTTTTGGCTGGGCTTCACTGAGCTTCTTGAATCTGTAGATTTGTGTCTTTTGTCATCTCTGGGGAGTTTACAGCCTGGAACACTAGTGGCACAGAAATTTTAGATTTTTTGTGTAGTATAATAGGTCCCTGAGGTTCTTTCTTTCTTTCTTTTTTTGGTTCTAGAGATTGGACACAAGGGCACTTAACCACTGAGCCATATCCCCAGCCCTTTATTTTTTTGAGACAGGGTCTTGTGAAGTTGCTTTGGCTCTCACCCAGTAGCTGAGGCTGAACCTCAAACTTGCAGCCTTCCTGCCTCAGCCCCTGGGATCACAGGCATTTATCAGCACAACTGGCCTGAGGTTCATTTAAGAAAAAAAAAAAATTATTTTCTCTCTTGTTCAAATTGGGGAGCTTCTATTTTATCTTGAAGTTCACCGATTCTTTCCTATCTCATATACATTTTTTAATCTTTAAATGATTCTCTATTTCTTTACTGACTTTGTTCTCAAATACGATTCAAGTGTATTCATAGTGGCTTCCTGAAGCAATTGTATAGTTGCTTTAAAATCCTTTAGGCGATTTCTTATGTCTTGTCCCCATGGTGTTGATGTCCATTGATCATCTTCTGATTCAAGGTGGGATTTCCCTGGTTCTGGTATGAATGATTTTCAATTGAAACATGGAAATTTTAGATACTACTGACTCTGGGTCTTATTTTCTTATTTACAACTTCTGTTAAAGCACACCTCCTCTGACATCGCTCTTTCAGGTTGGAAAAGCATCACTGTTACTGCCAGGTATGGGAAATTCAGGTTCCTCTCTTGTATCTGCCAGTGCCCAAGATGGGAGGGTCTCCTTGCTACTGCTAGGTGGGGGCCAGCTCATCATCCCTCTATTCTCTGTGGCTGACTCCTGGAGAAACCTCATTTCTCCACCCCATATGAACTCCAGTGACCACCACCAATCTCAGGCTCCCCACTCAGCCTTCTGTGACAGCACCCCAGCAGGGGTCTCAGGATGCACCCAATGCAGTCTGGTAAAGAACCTCTATGACCCAACCTGACCTTTGCTGGGAGAGAAGCAGCTGCGATTCCTTCTATGCCCTTGGCTGGAGTTTTCAGACTTGGCCAGACGGGACACTTTTCTCAGGCCTTATTATTTTTTGTGGGATGGGGGAGGTCCTGTACCTGTTGGCATTTCCAGGTTAGCAGAAAGAAAACCCAGGAACTCAGTACTAGTCTTTCCTTGCGTCCTGAAGTTCCAGACTATGTGCCTCCTCTTCATCTTTCTCAAGTTTCATGTGCACAAGAAATGAAAAATATGAGCCACCTTATTGTTTTATATAATATCCAAGGTTGCATTTAGTGGGGAGGATAATTACTTCTGATCCATTGTAAAAAAATTTATTTTTTAATATTTTTTAGTTATCAATGGACTTTTATTTATATGCAGTGCTGAGAACTGAACCCAGTGCCTCACACATGCTAGGCAAGCACTCTGCCACAAAGCCACAACCCCAGCCCTTCTTACCCACTTTTAATTGCATAATAAAACCATAAATAATTTCTTCTTTTCTAATGCCACAGTTTATGTAAGAGATAAATTATACCCACGAGTGTAACTTGTTCAATCCAAGGCAAACGCCCTTTGTCTGGCTGCCTTGTTCCCTAACAGTTCTGCTGGAGCAGCTGCTGCTCACAGCCAGGGTTTCATAGATGTCATTACACACATTCTCAGCTGTGGATAATGAGATTCAGTGAGTACTGTGAGTAATGCCCAAGAAAGAGATCAGTAAAGCAGAGAGGTCTAAGGACCACTTAGCACAATCTTATAAGAAATTACAACTTAAAGGTAGGAATAACAAACATTTATTCAGAAATGGATAAGTAATACAGAATCACCTCCATCCCTCAATGCCTCTTCCTCGACTTCTGAACAAGAGACACTTGATGAACAATGTAAGGGAGCGGGAGTAGAGGACACAAGGGTTGGCCCGCCACCTTCTCTTCCTTGTTCCCAAGATGACATCCTGAAGAACAGGGGAGGTAAACAGGTCCCTTCCTGTTCTCAACGTACCATATGGCCAAAGACTGCGGCTGGACTCAGTGAAATCTGTGAACACCAGAGCATGCCTGGCTTGGGAATGGGAGGTAAAGCCACCGTAGGAAGGCAGGGTATTGACCATCCCTACTCTCAGCACAGTCCAAGCTGTTCCCAGTATCAGGTCCTAGTGCCTTCTGGGTGTAGACACCAGTGTAGAAGGAATGTCTTCCAGCTGCTGTAAGAGACATAAGTTTGTACCCATTTGAAGGGGGTAAGAGAAGAAAAGCAGCATTCTTCAAAAACACAGGAAAGTGGAGCACCGCCTTTCCCGGAATCTCTGGCTTGGGCAACCTCAGCGCTGGAGGACTGAATCTGGATCCAACCTTTGGATCCTTCTTGCTTGAAGGACCTAACTGTGGAAAGGTGCATTTCTAGGTGCTCTTCACTGGGCGTCTAAGAGGCTCCTGGTGTCTCAGGCCCCTTTGCCTCCCGGGCTTGTCCTTTTCTTAGCATGTGCTCCTGATTTTGTACAGCACCCAGAATTCTAGCCCTCAACCCACTCCAGCTCTGCCAGCCTGGATTCCCTTCACAGCCCCAACAAACCAAAGAGCTTGCTCCAGGACAGCCACTCTGGCATTCACACAGTGCTTCTATAATGTATGGGAGCATGCTGGAAAACAGCCGCCAGCTTGCCTGGCAGGACCGCCTTTCTCTCCTGACTAACTTCTCTTCCCCACTGCCAAGGCAGGAAAATACCCCTCTGGTCATGGCTGGGCACATCCCCACGGCAGTGGGGACAATGCCCCTTGTGGCAGCTGGATATATACACCTGGCATCCATGATGTTGTCCTATAGACAAGTGAGGACAGAAAGGAAGAGCCACGAGCAAGCCAACATCTCCCATTCAAATAACCCCCCAACCCTCAGTACTACAGAACAGGAAGCAGAGCCTTTGAAAGGCCCACTAGCTAACAGCTGGCACTTGCACCCAAACAAGGATGGGACAAACACCAAGCCAGGTGAGAAATGGGAGGGCTAACAATGCAAGCCCCTCCCAGAAGGCTCTGAACTGGGGTGGGGCATCTGGACCCCCTCACAGAAAAAGGAAACATGGATTCTGGAAATTTAGGTTGCCTGAGACAGTGCAGGTCCTCAAAACCGAGAGCTGGGTGGCACTGTTCCTAGCAGAGCAACAGCCTCAGCCTGCCCTTGCCACAGAGCCCTCTGTCGACAAGCAGTCAGGCCTAAAGACAAAGAGGCCCGGGACCCGATTCCCCTAGAACATCTCCACTGGTCTGTGGGTAAGCAGCACTGCTCTCAAGTTGACCTGGCTTCCATTGGCAAAGGAAGAGTTCCCATTCCCTACTTTATTTGAAAAGTTTGAAAAAACAGAAAGGGAAGGCAATCCCTCAGCCCCTGGAAAAAGCAGTGTCTTTCAAACAGCCCTGTCCTGTATCCCAAGGGGCCTTAAGAAAGCCCACCGGGGAAACTTAGTGCACCATTCCAGGTAAGGAATCAGCGTGGGGCCGAGGGTGGAGGGAGGTACACTCAGATACACAGGCCTACCATGGTGATGAGGTGGAGGGCAGAGGAACACACTACGGGAAATGTTAACATACAGAAGAGCACAGGGGAGACACAACACAGAAAGGTGGGTCCCGTCCAGTGAGGAAGCTCCACCCCTGGCGACCCTTCCGACGCTCAGGGGGCTTCAGTCCGACGGCCCATTGGTCACAAGTGTTGCCTTGGGAAAACAGAGCCACCCTCCTCTGCCCCACTTCTGGCTGCCTCACTTTCCTGCTCAAAGTTTGATTTTGAATTCTGTGGGCTGTGTGGTCACAGAGGCCCCTGATGACTTGAAGAGCGCCTTCAGGATGGTGTCAGGGTCCACCTCGGCAGGAGGGTTGGAAGAAGAGGCGGAATTCACCCTTCGTGGCAGCTCGCTCTCCTTTTTCACTGAGGGACTGTCACTCAGCCGCCTATAAAGAACAGAGCAGATTGAAAATCCTGGAAGGTTTTCTAAGAAAACCTGCTTCCGAGGTGAACTAGGCACTGTGGGCGGGGCTCTCCTCAACCCTTTGTACCACTTCATCTTGCAGCAAACCCATCATGGCTCTTATTTGCTGCCCAGAAAACTGAGATGTAGCTGCTGTGTTAAGTTTTAAGCTTAGGAAACACTGCTCCTCCCTCATGGATGGTAACAATAAAGTCTTAAGTACACACAATTCATTAACTATCCATCCCAAACTGAGCAGGTCACCAAACCCTAAAAAACATATTTGGAACATACTACATTTCTGGAACCAGTTTTAGAGACTCGTCAAAAACACACCATTCATTACCCAGGTTCAAATCCCAGTATTTCTAAATCTCAGTCTGCTTCAGGCCTGCCCTGCACCAACTATCCACCCACCTTGGCAAGTCTAATCTCCTCCCTGGGTATGTGCTTCCGTTTTTTTTTTTTTTTTTTTTGTGTGTGTGTGTGGTGTGAGGCAGGCCTCTGTTTTCCTCACAGCTGTCTCTAATTTCTAAGGCAGGGCAGAGGTCATAATGCCAGCCCCTCCAGGGTCATGGTGAGACAAAAGATGGGAAATGAGGAGACAACCACTTCATCCCACTTTCAGCACTTGACTAACCATTAGCATCAGAAGGAGAACAAAGGAAAGCTGTGACATGGCAACTGCCCCTCAGAATAAAAGAGGCGGCCCTGCAGGGTGAACAAGCAGAGAAGCCCTGCCCGCCCCCACCTCCCTGCCTTTGGGACTCACAGCAGGATGGGCTGGTCTGAGGTGATCACGTTCCCATTCATGTGAAGGTTGCACTTCATCGGCTGCCCTGAAAAAAAAAACAAGAGAAAAAGCTCTGCCATGAGACCTCAGCTCCTCACACCAGAAGGACGGGGCCAGAAGGGTAAGGCTGTCACCTCCACATCAGGTAAAGCCTCACCATGGGCAGCTCTGGCTCCACATTGGGAGTGGCCAGGTCTCAGACAAGCCTTTGCTATAGTCTGTGGACATGTTCTGTCCCCAAAGGTTCCTGTGCTGGAAGTAGGATCCCCAGTGGGGCTATGTTGAGAAGCAGTGGCACCTTTAAGAGGTGGAGCCTCAGGGAGCTAGCTGGCCATCAGGAAATGGCTAGATTATCACAGTTCCCAAAGGACCCCAGCTCTCTCCACCATGATGAAACAGGAAAAACCTGAACAAACCTTCTAGCTTCATTTTCTTTTTTTTCCCCTGCCTCAGCCTCCCCGTAGCAGGGACACCAGGCATGCGCTACTGGTCCTGACCTGCTTCACTTGCTTTTAGCATTTGCTTTCCTAGCCAGTTTTAGAGGTCGCAGAGCTAAGCGATAAAACCCCACCATCAGTTGGCTATAGATGACACTTCTGATGTCTGTCCACAGTGGTGATGGCTGCCTAAGTTGTTCAATGAAAACACCAATCCTCTGCTTGGGCTCCACAAGTGCCTGAATAGTGACAATACAGGTCCAAAAGGCAACCCTCAGATCCTAGTAATGTCACCATTTTCTGAATATATACCTTAAGAAGAACCATGTTGGATTATGCACACACAGACCACGATGGCTCTTCCTTCCCAGCACACGAACCTTTGGGGGACAGAACATGTCCACACCTTTTCCCACGCCTGTTTTCCTACTCTGAGGATACCCTAAACACTATCCTCAGAGAGGTGCTAGGAGCCTTGCCCCCCAGTCTCCACACCTGGCTCACTAGTGAATAAATCATTTTTCTTTTTCACAATTCATCATTTCACTGAGGTACATACTGTGCAATGGGCAAAATATGCCTGGTTCAGTAACAATGAAGTACCAGAGCCAAACCAACGCCAGCAGAATGCCCCTGAGCCTCCAGAACTGTGACCTAAACAAACCTCTTTTCTTTATAAAATACCCAGCCTCAAGTATTTTGCTATATAACAGAAAATTGACTAATACACACAGACACTAAGAAAATACCAAGGTGCAAGGAAAACTCGGCAATGAGAATACCAAGCAAACTGACAAGCCTTGCTTCATACAGGAAGAGGTGAGCATGAAAATGAAAAATTCTTCAGGGAGAAGCCATCCAATCTTATCTGTGAAGCACATAATAAGGAAAAATGTTTATGCTATGTAATTAAATGAAAACAGGACTCAAAAGTATATGTTCAGACTCTCCCATCCACAAAGGATTAAGTGCCATGAAGCTGTGCTCCCACTACCTATAAGATGTGACGTGTCACAGAAATGGCCCAAAAGAAAGGAAGAATGAACTATATAGGAATAACATTTCACTAATTAGAACTAAGTCAGCATTAATCTGAAAGGTTCAGATAACTCACAATGTACACTGTAAATCCCTGAACAACTAGGAAGAAAATGATTCAAAACACACACTAAAAAGCTCATTAAAGGAATTTAAAAAACTGAACATATAAAAACCCACAAATAAAACCCCTGAATAACTATAAAAATGACTGAAAATACATGCTGAAAAACTCATTTAAGAAATTAAAAGATTAGGGGTTGTGGCTCAAGCCGTAGCGCGCTCGCCTGGCATGTGTGCGGCCCAGGTTCGATCCTCAGCACCACATACAAACAAAGATGTTGTGTCTGCGAAAACTAAAAATAGATAAATATTTAAAAAAAAAGAAATTAAAAGAAATGTCTCTAAAATGCATATTAAAAATAAAATGTATTAGATATATATAAAAAATATATATATGAGGTAGTGCATGCCTATAATTTTAGCTACTCAGGAGGCTGAGGCAGGAGGATCCTAAGTTTGAGGCCAGGCTCAGCCATTTTAACAATACCTTGTCTTAAAAATAAAAAAATAAAAAGGGCTGGAGATTTTTGCCCAGTTATTGCGAGCCATCCATGGGCTGTGTGTATGAGCTACGCGCATTGGAGCTATATGAGGGGACAGGTATGGCAAGGCATGCTGACTGGGCTATGCAACAAAAGTGCGCCTCTCCTCTCACTCTGTGATCCCACACGGCACCTGAGATGGGTGTGACTTGTCAAGGTGTCAATCAATCTGCTGACCACAAGACATCACGAAGCAAGACTCTCTAACCTTATCCCCTGCTTTATTTAGTGAAGAACATTCCATCAAAACTCCTTTGTGTGTCCCCCCTATAAAAATAAAGAGATTCCAGGTGCATGCTTTCTTGTCTTTCAGCATGGAAGAGAGGACTGAGGTCGCAGAGCAGTCCCGCCCTCAATCTGAGAAACTCATGTTCATGTGTTGCATGATTTCTTCACCATTTTCTTAGTTAAATGTTGCAGTCTACTCCTTTGAATCCAGCTCATCTCATCAGTACAGATTGCTGGAGAGACCCAGTGGTGGAACACCCCTGAGTTCAAACCCAGTATTGGGGGGAGGGGTTGGGAAGCTGGGTGCAATGGCATATACCTTATAATCCCAATGGCTTGGGAAGCTAAAGGAGGAGGATCCCGAGTTCTAAGCCAGCCTCAGCAAAAGTGAGCCACTAAGCAACTCAGTGAGACCCAAATGAAATACAAAAACAGGGCTGGGGATATTGCTCAGTGGTCAAATGCCCCCGAGTTAATCCCCAATACTCCTCCAAAAAAAGAAATAAAAAGAAAAATTCATGTAACATAAAAGAAAGTCACAGAATTTAAAAATAATAAAATAAAATGGTAGATAGAAACCCAATTATCAATAACATCAAGTGTGGCTGGAGTAAAATTATCTGATTAGGTTATAAACATGCCAAACTATGGGTGAAGCTCATTTTGTTGTACTTAATTTTATTACACTCTGTAGATATCTTAAAAAAAAAAATTGTAAGTTCACAGCAGCTCTACTTTGAGGTTGGTTTGATTGTTTGTTTTTTAAGGCTGGTGGGTACCAGGGATTGAATCCACAGGCACTGAATCATTGGGTCACATTTCTAGCCCTTTTTATTTTTTGAGACAGGTTCTCACACTAAGTTGCTTAAAGGCTGCGCTAAGTTACTGGCTTTGGGCTTATGATCCTCCTGCTTCAAGCTGCCAGGTTACTGGGATTATGGGTGTGTGCTACTAGACCAGGCTATTTTGAGCTATTTTATCATTGACACTTTTCCAATAGTATGTGCTCACATTTTGGTAATTCTTGCAATATTTCAAGCCTTTTCATCATTGTTATATTTGTTTTGATGATCAGTGCTCAGTAATTTTTTATGTCATTATTGTAATTGTTTTGGGATGCCATGAGCTGCACTCATTTAAGACAGTGAACTTAATAAAATTGATGGGTTCTGAATACTCCACCAACCAGCTGTTCCCCTATCTCTCTCCCTTTCCTCTGTCTTCCCTATTCTCCTAAAAAAAAAAAAAATACTGAAATAAAGTCAATTTATAATCCTATAATGACTTCTAAGTGTTCAAGTAAAAGAAGTCACATGTCTTTAACTTTAAATCAAAAGTTAAAAATGGCCGGGCTTTGGGCTGGGGATATAGCTCAGTTGGTAGAGTGCTTGCATTGCATGCACAAGGCCCTGGATTCAACCTCCAGCACCATACA